TCCACCCTGGCCGGAGTTTTTAAAAATCTCTGTTTTCAGTGACCGAAAACGCCGTTTACGTGTGGATAAAAGGTGCAAACGCATAGAAAAATCTGCGTTTTCAAAAATACCCGGGTACGTGTGGACATAGCCTTAGACATAAATGTCTTTGTGCCCCAGGATGGAAAACACAATCCCTCTGAGATAATATACAGAGAAAGACCTTTTCTTATATTTTGTGGGTCTCTACACTAACTGGAATTACATTGAAAAAGAACAGAAAAAGTGGGTTTTAAATTATCCTGAGCTGTCGGCTGGTGCAACCTAGTCACGACGCCACGTTTTGTGTTTCACGTTGCAGTTTGTGAGTCCGATCGGTATTGCACAGACACATAACAGTAAACTTTCTGTGTCGCTAAATGATGGCTGAACTGGCTGTTTCCGTGAGGTCCAGCTTCAGCAAATGAATCTGTAAACACAAACACCTCTTAATCTATAAGAGTGAAAACTAATCGTTTGCCACCGAAGTAGAGCAAAGTTGGTGACAACATGAAATAATCAGACGCTGTTTGTTCCTGCAGGTTTGTGAGCTTGTTCGCTTCCTAATAGAGAACTGCAGCACCCTCCTGGGGGACGTCACATCACTCTTCAGAACCTTCAGCCAGAAGAGCAGCAGCAGCGACCATGGATCTGGTAAGAACTGAGATTTAGGCCAGACAATAAAGAAAGGACAGAATATCAGTAGGAATTTAATTTAAAAACAGTTAATTAGGATGTACAGGCTTTTTCTTAACATTTTATGAGCTCATAATCAGGCAGATTTTGTGATCCAGTTTAGTTGTATAAGCTTGTAGGAAAAAACTGTTAAGAATGGCTGAGACAGTGACAAAAAAGCCAAGAGGTATAGAAAATACTGCTCTCTAATAAAGTGCTTAGTATTGAGACTTGATTCCTACATTGTTAAAGAGTCTGATCCCATAAAAAAACAAACAGGCTGCAACTGTAATGGAAACATTTACAGATTTTGCAATTTGGGTTTCTTTTGCTTTCAGTTTTCTGACTTAATAAATGCAAACTGAAACCGCACAGCCAGAGCTATTACAGGGAGAGGTGTGGCATTAAAAAAATCTTGAATTGAATCTACTTCATTGACGCAGAAGATGGTAAAATTCCACAATACTCTGCACGCTCGCCCCTACCAGCAACTGAAACTGAAAAAGCCACTAATGTTGTTGCACATGTAGTAGTATAACCTGCTGGTAAAAAAGAAAGAAAAGCCTGTTAAACCTTATTTTGGGGGCAAAACCACCAAACATTTTAAGCGTTACTATCTAAGATTCAACTGGTTATTCTGAAAATGTATTTTAACCCAAAATAAATGCCTGGAGCTGATGACTCTCTTGTGGCAAAGCTTTGTTCTAGGAGGGTTTTAGCACAGCTAGTCCTGTGAAAAAACATAACAAAAGAAAAACAGATGCACATGGAGACAATGTTCTTGTGTCAAATTTGTTCTAAAGGTCAAGTGTGTGTGTTTTGTGTGTGTGGGATAAAGGATCCTTTATTTATTATCTGAAAAAGTACTGATAAAGCCTCACTGTGTTGCATCAAGGTGGTTTGGGACTGACTAGCTTGCTCTGTGTGGTGCAACTGAATTGCCCAGGAGCTTTAAGTCATGTTGACTGGGGTCAACAAATTGACCTGCGGTAATTTCAATGATTGCCAGGATCACATGATTAAGATAGCACTGAATATCCTCATTCATGCTGTAAGTAACCACCAGGGGTCAAAGAGCACATAGCAGAGATATGCTTTGTCCTCTGTTCTCCTCATGTGCACCAGTGAACTGTGACTTTGTTCATTCAGCTCAGGAAATGCTCTCACTTAATTGAATCTTTTTTTTTTTTGTCCTCTAGCAATGGCAACCAATCAGTTAAAGCGACTCTTTACAGTGAAAAATGGCACTGTTGCTAATTGCTAATAAAGTGAACCATGTTTTCTCCTTTTCTTCCCAGATGTGTCGTCCTTCCAGATGAACGACTCGTCTTACGACAGTCTGGAGAACGAGCTGAACGATGATCCCGAGTCCCCCTTCCAGGAACAGCTTCCGCTTCGCGACAAAGACAAGCCGGACAGCTGCAGCCGTGACTCTGTCATCACGCTCAGTGATGGCGACCCCGAACCTGACCCCGATTCTAACCTTTTGCTGCAGCTCCCGCCTCTGGCCAGACCCAGTAGGTTCAGTCCCGTGGTTCGACAGCCTCGCGTACGCCACGCCAACGGCTCGTCGCAGGGTCCTAGGAGACTGAGGAGGAGCTCAGAACCGGCCTTAGCCCTGGCTAGCATGCCGACTTCAAGCATGGTGTTAGCTCATGCTGATAACCGCCACCCGTCAGTGAGGAAGGCGAGCTACGATGCTGCCATGGAGGGGGAAGCGGATGTGGATGAGGTTTTTCTTGAACAGGGGCTGAACGGGCTGCAGCTGAAAGAGGAGGGAGAGGATGGCTGTGAGAAGAGAGGAGTCAAAATCCAGAACAGCGGGCGGAGGAAGACGAAGCATGCCCCTCCACCACCACTGCGACTGGATGCCAGTTGTTCCAGTCTGTCTTCACCGGCAACCTCACCAACCGGCTCCTCCCTCAGCTCCTTAGACTCTGCCTTCTCACAGTACTCCACTGACTACGCCACAAATGTGCCACTTCCGTTAAATGAATCCCTTCCTCTCTCCCCCCTTTTTCCTGGACGCCCACAGCAGTCCTCAAGGAGCTCTCCCCCTCAGAGAGAAGCGCTGGCTCATTGGCCACAAGCCACCCAACCCCCTCGAACCTGCCAAAGTGCTTCTCACTCTCATGGCCTCCACCCTAACACGTGGCTTAAAAAGGACCGGTGCCTGACGCTAAGGCAGCCCGATAGTGGACACACTGAGGAGGACCTGCCCGTGGTTAACGGGAAATCCTTCTCAACCACTAACTGCTTCTCTGTCAGTGCCCAGGAGGCCATGGTGACAAATCAAAACTGCAGACATAGATCAAGCAGCCCTCCATCTTACCAGCAGGCTCTGCTGCAGCTGCAGCGCAGCCACTCTCCTTTTTACAGTGCGACAGAGAAGCCTCTGACAGTCAAAGATCTGAGACAGCTCCATGACCAGACCTCACCTAACAAACTCAAACCAAACCCAGGAGCTGAGATCGCACAGAGGCTGGATGAAGGTGGCTGCGTGCAGCCCCCAAAAGGTGTTTTCTTTGGACAGAGTGCCACCACTCTGGTGCTCCAAAGACAAAAGTCCCACTCTCTAACTCCTGCCATGGACATCCACAGAGGGAGGAAGACCCTTCCTCGCCGAGCATCTGATCCTGCTAAGGTCAATGTGAACTCTAACCGCGGCCCCAGCCTTACCTTAGACAGACTTCCTGCTTCTAAAGCCCGGCCCCAAGACGGCAGAGCGTCAGATAACCACGCCAAGCCGCGCCTCTGCTTGTCGCCCTCTGCCACCAGGGCTGTAAGGGACTACTTTTCCTCACAAGGTCAGGAGGATGTGGACGCCTGCCTGCAGAGGAGTCATGAGGTCGCGCTAGCAATTGTGCAGGGTAAGAAGGAGTGGCAGAACAGGCGGTGCAGTGACCCGCGGCTGGAGGACTTTGAGCAACTTTTTTTTGCAGAAGAATCGTATGTGTAAAAAGGAACTTTGTAAAGACAAACTGTACAGGGGAGACTGACTTTCATGTGATATTGTAACTTGTACACAACTGTCTTTTTATTGTAATTTTTTATCATATACCCCTTTAACCTGTTGCTGACTACTGTAATGGTACATCAGCGGTTTAAGATTTTTATGAGGTACAGATGCAGCGTCAGTGTAGCGGCTCGAACACCAAAAATCTGGTTTCTCTGGACAAAATGTTTCTCTCACCGCGTCCTTGTGCACCTTCCAGATCTATTGTTGTTTCTTTTTCAGCATGTGATGAAAGTATGGAGAGCTTGTCAGCAGTAAGGAAAAAGAAACGACAAAGAAATCCTTTTTTTCGTGTTCGGGAAGCTTTAGAAAGCAAGCAGAAAATCCATTGCAGCTGATGGGAAACGAAGGC